CAGAAGTAGCAAGAGTGGACGAAGCTTCCCAAACACCAAAGCATCACGCAGTCCCTGTCCAGTTAGGAGAAAGCATCTGGCATTGACCTCGGAGCGGCAGCGCCTAAACTCGCTTCTAACTGATGAGTGACTTCTTAAAAATGAAATGGTAGGGCCAGCACGTAGTGTGGCTGTTAAGGCACTGAACTCCTGCATTGCCAACAGCGGTTCAAGCCCCAGACCCAGCAGCTTGGAAATCACACCAGGTGCACATACATGTGCACCAAAAATCCTGAGGGGAGAATGGAGGAGAAGGGATGGTGGTGTGCCCATCCCCTCAGAGGGTGAGTTCTCACATTCCTTCTAGCAGGAAGCCATCCTTGGTGTGCCAAGGAGCAGGGCTGGTCACTGTCGACATCTGGAGACATTTTTGGTTGTCACATCTGGGGGCTGCTAGAGTCACCGGAGGGGTGGAGGCCAAGGACTGCGAAACCTCCTCCAGTTTGGCAGCCTTATGACCAAAGACGCTGCGGCTCTGCGTGTCAATAGTGCCATGAGTATGAACCCCCAGTCTGAGCTCATACCACAGTGACCAAGTTTAAGTGTCTCATCACAAAGGGACTTCTCAAAGGACACCCTACCAATTTCTTCATTCATTTAACAAGTAACTGTTAAACACAGAAATTCACCAATAATAACAACCGTCATAGCCACCGTCCACCTCCATTCGGGCAGGTGTCCCAGAGCCACCCTCGCTCTGGGTGTGCTCTCGCTCAGTCCCCCTCATGGACAGCTGCTGTCAGCCTCCTTTGATAGAAGAGGAGACGGAGCGTCAGAGAGTAAGCAGCTAGCCCCAGAGAGGGAGATGGGAAGTGGAGAAGCCAGCAATGAAACCAGAGCCTGGCTTCTGAGTGGTTTCTGTGGCCTCTCCACTCTGTCACATCTGGCAAAGGGACAGATGCAATAGAGGGGACAACAGGCCAGAGCCTGTGGTCATGTATTTTATCCTAGACGCTGACAGGCAGGAGCTCACAGTGGGGGAAGGGAAGGGAGAATAATATAAGGCCTAATGTTGATTCGTATCCAAACAGCCAAGATGGGGGCAGTTGGGTTTGCAGGGAATGTCAACATCAAATCCCAGCTGACTCCAGCAGGCGCCTCATTCTTAGAGCTAGAAAAGGTGTTGCTGTCACCCCATAAATGCTGCAGCACCTGCTGGAAAACTCTGAGACCCCAGGAGGAAAGCGCTGCCGTGAAACGGAGCACAGAGCCCTGCGTGCTTCCCAGAGTGATTAGAAGGCAGCGGACCTAAAAGATGAATTTGTAATTCAAATTAATTATCAGGAAAGATGCTCTGACACGATTGGCACCGCAGATTTTCAGTTGAAAAATAAATGACTAAAGATTTACCTCAATTACAACTAGATCCAGAAGTAGCAAGAGTGGACGAAGCTTCCCAAACACCAAAGCATCACGCAGTCCCTGTCCAGTTAGGAGAAAGCATCTGGCATTGACCTCGGAGCGGCAGCGCCTAAACTCGCTTCTAACTGATGAGTGACTTCTTAAAAATGAAATGGTAGGGCCAGCACGTAGTGTGGCTGTTAAGGCACTGAACTCCTGCATTGCCAACAGCGGTTCAAGCCCCAGACCCAGCAGCTTGGAAATCACACCAGGTGCACATACATGTGCACCAAAAATCCTGAGGGGAGAATGGAGGAGAAGGGATGGTGGTGTGCCCATCCCCTCAGAGGGTGAGTTCTCACATTCCTTCTCTCTGCCTCTCTACAGCAAGCACACGCGCCCACGACAAAAACCTTAAAAGAAAGAAAGAAATCGTCACTGAATCAAATGCACAATCAATGGGATTAATTTAAACATAATCCTTTTTATTCCAAAAGGACTTCCATCTTCATTGCCTCTTTTTCATTCACTGAGTTTATTATTTTTTTTAATAGCATTCCCTAAGACACTCAAGTTAGAGCAGAAGAAAAAATATCCAAAGCCTATAACCCCAGGCTAATTACCAAAGAAGCAATGGCTAGACTTAGGTTGGGGACACTCTTCACTGGCCAGTACCAAGACTGTCAACTCATGAGTGACAGGTGAAGACTGAACACACTGTCGTTGATCAGAGGAGACCGAGGACCCCTGACAACTGAACATGGTAGTCTGGTTCTGCCCCATGAATGGCTTTAGTCCCTTAAAACAGAAGCTAGAGGGACCCAAAGTTAGCGTAATGGCTATGTCGCTGGACTCCCATGTAGTCGACTGCAGTCCGAGTCCCAGACGTGGCGGCTTAAAACACGCCGGGCGTGTGTACGTGTGTGCCCAAGATCCCGAGAGGAGAATGGAGGAGAAGGGATTGCAGAGTGGCCATCCCCCCTGAGGGTGATTTCTCGCTTTCTCTCTCTGTCTCTCTCTGTCTTTCTGGCGAGTGCACATGCCTTATGGCAAAAAACTCTCTAAAAAAACCCCAGAAGCTAGAGGAAGGCTCCTTGCCATGTGAGGACACAAAATATAACGGGTCCTCGGCAGACACTGTCTCTGCTGGTCCTTGATCTTGGACTTCCCAGCCTCCAGAACTGTGCGGATAAATGTCTGTTGTTTCTAAATGACACATTCTGAGGTATTTTCTCCTATCAGCAGAAACAGGCTAAGATGGAGGAGAAATGCCACCTCTTCAGGAACTCATGGAGTCAAGTTGAAGCCAGTTCTAAGAACAAAAATGAAGATAAATGGAAATAACAAAATTAAGTAGTGCCAACAGCGGGATCTATCATCGACGGAGATGCTAGCTGCTGACAGCATGTGACACGGCCTGCACTCGACATGCATTTTCTCATTCAGTTCTCAAAATAACCCAGTGATGTTGCACTAAATATAATCACTGGTTCCATTTCAGCATGAGGAGAAGAATCAGAGGCCAGTCACATGGAGGTCAGCTTAGCTGTCCATTAAGGTCATGCACGGCGCACAGGTGTGAGAGTACTGCTGTCAATGCTGGAGCCTCAGAGAGGCCCAGGCTTGGATCCTGGGCTGACCTGAACACGCAGGGTACGTCTGCATGCACCGCGATCCTGGCTGACCAGGAGACTGGGGGAGGGCCGTAGTGCAGTGACTGTCAAGGGTACCTCTCTCTCTCTCTCTCTCTCAAAATAAATAAACTTTTTAAAGTTTAAAAAGTCTATATAGCCTTGGGGCCAGCAGGTGGCGGGTGATTAATGTGCTGGACTCCTACGTAGTCGACTGCAGTTCAACTCCTGGATCCTGTGGCTTGAAAACCACGCTGGGTATGCGTGAGTGTGTGTATGTGTGTGTCCAAAATCTTAGGAGGAGAATGGAGAAGGAATTATGCCACGGTCACCCAGAGGGGTGATTTCTCACTTTCCCTCTCTCTCTCTGACTCTCTCTAGAATGTGCACACGCCCTAAGGCAAGACGTGTGTAGCCTTTGAGAGTTGCATCTCATCCTCAGAGCGGTGGGGGATCATGGCCGTGTCACAGACGGACACAGGGAGAGCTTTCCTAGAGATGACGAGATCGTAACAGGCCCAGGGAGGCTGCTCTGTTGATCCAAAGCTACGGCCCGAGCACTGTCCACTCCACGGTGTCATGGGAAAAGGAAACTGACTCGCCACGTCGCCACACAACCCCAGCCACCAGCTGGCAGGACACTGGGTGGCCTGGGCCGACCCGCACCGCTCCTCTGCCCACCTGCACGAGGACAGGCTTGCAGTTTACAGCCAGGACAAGAGTGCAACTGCTGAAGAACAGATATGGGCAGTGTTGGGGTGGTTTGGGGTTTCTTTTTGTTTGTTCATTTGTTTGTTTGTTTCTTTGTTTTGAGAGAGAGATTTTTGTTATAGGGTACGTGCGCTCACCAGAGAGACAAAGAGAGACAGAGACAGAAAGTGAGAAATCACCCACTTAGGGTAATAGCTATGCTGCAATGCCTTCTCCTCCATTTTCCTCTCGGGATCTTGGGCACGCACGCATACGCACATGCACCCGGCATGAGTTTTAAGCCACCAGGTCCAGGACTCGAACCACTGTTGACAACACAGGAGTCCAGCAACGTAACCATTACACCATCTGCTAGTCCCAGCTGAATATTTTTTTAATCACTGATCTCTCCAGTGAGAAAGAGAGAGACAGCATCCCCAACAGAGTCCCGACTTCACGGTCCACCGCCAGCATCGGCCAGCCTGGCATCCTGGCTAACGCGTGTCTGGTGTGCTCAGGGAGGTGTCCAGTCCTGAGCCCGGAACCCTCCCTCGTGGGCCAGCCTGGCAGAGCATGTTTGACTGCCGCGCCCCACCCGGCCCCTGCGGAGCACACTGAGCTGACGGGGGGCTGGAAGGGAAGCCTCCCTGCTCTTCTGCCCTCCCTGCCTCTCCTCCCTTGAAGCAAGTCATACAAACTGGAATTCTTCTTCCCTGAAGCAGCTCATAGAAACCAGAAATTTTCATCCCCAAAGTCAGCCATAAAACCAAGAAACATTACTCTCACCGCCCCCTGTCTTTCTGTGCAATGCAAGAGCTGGCCATGAAGAAATCCTCCGACCTACACTGACTCACAGAGGTTCGAGACCCCCATTCCCGAGGCACCCTGCCCAAACCCGGGAGGAAGGAGGGCTGCAGAGATCAGCCACCGGGTTCCCCCTCAGCCCAGCGCCCGTAGAGCAGGCCTGTCCACCCGGCCAGGGTCTGCCCAGCGTCCACTCTCCACCACACCCAAGCATCAAAACAGACAGTCCTCCCAGGGTCCTTGGGTCGTCCCCTCTGAAGGCTCCCATGCCACCTACACCTTTGATGAAATAAATGTGCATTTTTCTCTGGTGGCCTGTCCTTTGTTAAGAAGCATCGGCCCTGACCCTGCTGCTGGGTGAGGAGAGGCGTCTCGCCCTGCCTCCCTGACAGCTGCAGCCACCAAGCTTGTCTCCATGGGTGTGATTTGTCCCCTCAAAGGCTTCAAAGGGACAAGGCCAGGATCCGCTGGGGGCCTGGGACCCGCAAGGCTTACCTGCCAGCATCAGGGCTCGGATGCACTCCGTCCGGCCCTGCATGGCAGCTTTCATCAGGGCTGTGAGTCCGAACACGTTCCTCTTTTCCAGGTCAAGGCCAGGGAAATAGTTCAACAAGTAGTTGGTGATGGTGGCGTGCCCTGCGGAGAGAATCGTACACGTGTACAGGTGCGCACGCCCACGAAAGTGCTCATTCCAGAGGGCCTGCCCAGAGAAACGCCGAGTCACCCCGGCCAGCCCCGTGCTGTGAGCCTGGGAAGGCAGAGACGCGCTGGCTCTACCTGTGTCCCTGTCAGAGGCCCCGGGGGCCAGCCATGCACGCACCGCTGAGCAGGGAGGTGGGAGCAGATGCCCAGCAGCCTGTGGAGAGCAGCGTCCTGCAGACGTGCAGGCAGGAGCATCCGCTGCCAGCAGGAGCACCCGCTGCCAGCAGGAGCCGCCTGCAAACAGATGCCCCGCAGTGAGCTCAGCTCCGGGAAGTTCCCAAGAGCTCCGGAGTGTCAGGGAGGAGAAAGTCCTCATTTTAGCCACAGGGAACTGCCAGCCAGGGCGCTGTCTGTCCTGTACTCACGTTTCCCTCTCTGTCTCCACCTCCCCTCCCCCTCCCCGTCTCCATCTCCATCTCCCTATCTCCACCTCTCTTTATGTGCCTTCCCATGACATACATGACTCTGTCATTGTGGATGTCATTTGTCATCCACAATGTGAATCAGTCCATACTGTTCATCATTTTTAAGATTCTGCTGGCGATTCACTTTCCTTTCTATTTCCATATTAAGTTAATGATAACACTATTTATTCTGTAAAAAGTCTATTGGGCATGGGAAAGAATTAAATTTAATTTTCATATCAATTCATGGAATAATGCCATCCTAATATTATTTACTGTGATCCTGGGACAGTGGCAATCTATTTACTTGCTCCTTTTTGAAGGGTTGGGCCTGTAGTGTAGTGGTTAAGCATTGTGCATAGAAAGCTGAATCCCACAAGGTTAAATGTGGCTCAAAACCTGGACATAGTGGCTTGAAAAACACACAGGGCACATGTGCACACTCCAAATCCTGATTGTGCTGTGACCATGCCCATTAGGATGTTATCTCTCCCCATCTCCATCTCTCTCCCTATCTCCACCTCCCCTCCCCTCTCCCCATCTCCATCTCTCCTCCCAATCTCCATCTCTCCTTCCTTCTCCCCGTCTCCATCCCCTCTCCCCGTCTCTGTCTCCATCTTTCTCTCTCCCCACCACACACTCACACCCCACAAGGAGAGCCGCAACTGAGACCTTAAACATAAGCAGGTGAGAGAACTCCGTCAGAGATTTCCCCCTTACATCCCCAAGCAGGATTTGATTTCCACTCACCCCAGAGGGGTTCTCAAAAACTCCATGGGGCTCTCAACTAGGGGCAATTCAGGAGAGTGCTGTGGAAAAGCTACATTTTCAGGCTCTGTTGGGAAAACCAGAATGGGGGAAGCAAGTCCGGCAGCTGTCAGGGCGCCCCAGCCACCGCCACACCTCTCACAGTCCGGTCCTCGTGTGAGTACAAGGGCTCTCCCGAGGGGGTTCGGAAAAATGGAATGACAGTGCAAAAAAAGGTGAAATGCAGGCATAATTCTTCAGTGAGCTTCTTGAAGACTCCTTGTTCACCACACACACACTTCAGTCCTCCGGGGGTTCCAGCTCAGGTACTGGTGGCATTTGGGGCTGTCCCTGCCTTGCAGGGTGGTGAGCAGCATCCTCATCTCTACCCACCCTCCCCTCCCCTCCCCTCCTCTGTTCCTCTGTCCCAGCACCAGCAGACCCCTCTCCTCCACGGCCCTCTCCATCCTGGCCCACGCTGATGCTGACGATGGCTAATATGCCCCAGGCAGGCAGGCAGCCTGCAGAAAGTCCCCTCCCTGGGTCCTGGTGAAGGGCTGCCCACGCATTCTCCTTCCTCACACCCGCAGATGCAGCTCTCTGGGACCACACGCTTATCCCCTCTCCAAGCCGTTCCTCTCTCCCCACTGTGGGGGCTGCAGGTATCGGCCTCGGGTTAACTCATCAACCCCTCTCAGAGGGACACCTCTGTTCGATGTCGTAGCCTGGACTCCTGTCGCCCAGAATCCCTATCTCTATGGGTGGGATGTGGGATGTGGGATATGGGATGTGGGATGTGGGATGTGGGGAGGCAGAGAAGCCACTCCTCTGAGGTTGGCCAACCTGGAATGTGAAACCTTCCCGACCCTCACCCAGTCTGCAGACCATGATGGCTGAGTGAGCTCTGGATGCCTCCCTACTGTGTGCAGGGGGTGCCCTTGGCTTCACCCCTTAGCCCTGTCAGTGCCCTGCAAATCCAGGAATAAGTCCTTCCCATGCACAGCATGGGTTCTGTCTGCACACCCACAGCCTAGCCACATAGCTGCCCCGGCTGGAACCCATCTACCCAGATTAAATCCTGTGGCTTAGGTCCTGCCAACATCCAGATTAAAACCAATGAGAAGTGAGCCAGCAGGTGGCATAGTGGTTAAGGTGCTGGACTCCCACATGGCTGACCGCAGTTCTAGTACCAGACCCGGCAGCTTGAAATTCACATCAGGTGTGTGTGCATGCCCAAAACTCTGAGAGGAGAAGGGATTGTGGCGTGGCCATCCTCTCTGGGGACTGATTTCTCACTTTCTCTCTGAGCTATCTCTGGGGAGCACATGCACCTATAGCGAAAATCTCTCCCTTAAAAAAATCGACGAGCAGCAGAAGTGAGAGGGATTCTGGGTGGCATGGCTGACTGCCCACCACTGACCACAGCCCGACTCTGGGGCGCACCGCAAGTATCTGAGAGAGAAGCCCCAAGGAGCAAGACAGCAGCAGGACACGAATGAGCAGGAAGCCAAGGTCACCATCCATGGGCTACACAGCACCCAGGTCCAACAGCGCTGATGGCCACTGACTCAGGGACGCCCATGTTCTCTCCGTCTTCCCCCAAGAGGGCACGCTGCCAGCCGTCAGCTGGCCGAGCTGCTTCCTTGCTCGACACCGCGGGGCACAGGGGCGCAGGGGAGCAGGGGAGCAAGGGCGCAGGGGCGCCCTTCTTTACCCTTGGGTTAAACACTTGGCAGCCCCTGTCAGTTAGATTTACCCAGGGACATAGCGATGCAACTGCAATTCTTTTCGAGCTTTTTCTTTTAAAATGTGAGCTAGTGAGTTGGCTACGATTTTCAGCAGGGTCTGTGCGTGGAGAGATCTAAACCTTCTGCAGGGGGAAGCGGAAAACCCATGAAGCAAACTGCCTTGCACAGGTTTGTGCTGCACGTCAGGTCGAGGGCTGGGGAACCAGCCTCCCGCTGCTGCTCCTCCTAAATACAGGCCGGCCTTTGGTGACCCGGGAAGTCACACCCTGCTTCCTGCGAGCGTCCCTGGAACGGCGGAGTAACTCCTTCCCAAGCAGAACCTAGTCCAGTGGAAATCAAGGGTGGGCCCAAGGTATCTAAGAGTGTCCAAATGTTAACTTTCCTTTTTAAAAACTAGTCAAGTAACCGAAGGGAGCTTTCGTGTTTGTGTGTGTGTGTGTGTGTGTGTGTGTGTATTACACACACAGCCTACTTTGCACGAGGGAGTCCAAACATGCACCACACTGAAATGTAGTTGGAGCTTAGGTATGAAATATTATGGAGTAGGGTCTGGTTCCTGCCATCCTCACAGAGCCCCTTTAAAGGGTGGGCTCACCATAGGGGTCCCAAGAACACATGGAGGCAGGCCAGTTTAAGGTGTGACGGGACAGCGGCCATCTTGAAACTAAGCTTTCTTCGTTCCTAAGGTTCTCTAACAAGAACCTTCTAAGCAAGTGCTGAGCCATGGGGAGGTCTCGCTGAGGAATGGGTGGCTGAGAAACCAGAAGTGGGTATTTGAAAAGATCAGGGTCATTACTCAGGGGAAGGGACTGACTGATTGGCTGGAGTGAGAATGATTTGCACCTGCTTATATCTCGTGCCTCTAAAGACCAAAAATGTGTTGAGCTTTTGAGACAGTGTGGTGGCACCTGCCGACTGCCTCCTTGTAACCGGTTATAGAAGTAAACTCCCTCCTCTGGCCTGTGCCTCTTATTTTACAGACGAGAAGCAGCAGCCGGACTGAGTTTGGCCGGTAACGGCCACACCTACCCCCATGCTCTTCACTCTACCGGAGGAAGAAGCACAGATAGCCCAAGGAATAAGTGGATTTGAATGAAATCACTCCCATGGGACACGGTGGGCACGAAGAGCTTAGTATTAAGACAGCTGACTCTGAAAGGACTCAAGTTCAAGTCCCAGGCTTGCCCCTGCACATCTGGGTGCTCTGGGAGGTGAGTCAGTTTTCCTGCATCTGGAAGAGGGGATATGACAGCGACCTCACAGCTGTGAAAATGGCGGGAGATGGTGTGTGTAAAAAGAGCCTGACGACCACAGATTCAGAGCCCCAGGTGGGCTTGACAACACACCACGTGTGTGCGTCCTGGACACCCACGGTCCGGAGGCGCTGGAGGGTTGGGAAAAGGGGGAACAAGGCATGAGACCCGTCAAGAACGCCTCCCCACCCCTGTACACAGGCACGTCCTCTCGTGAACAAAGTAAATAAAGCTTTTTCAAAGCGCCCACAGGATGGACAAAGCTCCGGCAGAAAAGTCCCAAGTAACGTACGCGCTCTGTCTCAGGAGTAAGAAGGGAGCTCCCCACCCCGTCCCTGCGGGCTGTGCGTACAGACCTCCTTCCAGGGAGGACGACACGGACAGAGGGGAGGGGGGACGGGAACGTCACAGTTGAGAGACCTACTATGACCCCATCCAGTGACCGAGGTCACCACCATCAGCAGTCGGTCATGTGGGTGGCAGAGACCCTCGACGAGATGCACTAGGAATGGCGCTTTAACTGTGATCCTCCCAATCACCCCCCCCCCGCCGCCTTATATTTTAAGAGAGAGAGAGACTTTTGCTATGGGCACATGTGCTTGCCGGAGATACAGAGAGAGACAGAAAGAGAGAAAAACCTTTACCCCCCGGGAGGTTGGCCATGCTGCAGACCCTCCTCCTACATTCTTCTCTCCGGATTTTGGGCACACACACAAGCCACCTGGCATGAGTTCCGAGTGGCTGAGCCCAGGACTTGAACAGCAGTCTTAACTCCAGTTGAG